GGACGGGCATGGAGGGGGAGCAAGCCCCCTCAGAGAAACTAACATGGGAATAGGACTCCCCTGAACCTCCAGCCCAGGCTCCTTCTGCAGCTATGGGATGGGCGTTTCCCAAGGGACCTCCTTCCCTCCGGTGGAAGACATGTTCAGGGAACACAGGAATTCAATGGGACTGGAGCACAGAGGTTCCAAAGATGGGGAGCCAGATCAGGAAGGGCCTGCAGGCTGGCCTTGACACTCTGGTTTACAGGGGACTCAGTGGGGGTGTTTGAGGAAGAGAGTGACCCCATCAGACTAGCAGGGTAGAAAGCACTCTGGCTGCCGAAGGCAGAATGGATGGGAGGGCAGTCAGGTCAGGAGGCTGTGCACTGGGCCAACAGAGGGATGGCAGCAGCCTCAGGTAAGGCAGAGTGATCAGAGGAAGTGGCATCCAGTGATATCAAGGAGCAGGACTTGAGTGGCTCTGTGAATTAGAAGGTAGAGGAAGTGGGCATTTGATTCCAGGTTTAGGAGGAGGGAAGGACAGGAAGTAGAGAGGGCTGAGAAGCACCATCAGTATGCACAACAGGCAACAGAAGGTCACTTGTTCACACAGCAAGTGCTACTGGGAGGCCTACTCCACAGCCTCCTCAGGGGCAGAGCCCACCCCTCCAGGGCCCAGTCTGTATAGTGGGAAAGGAAGATGGGCAGAGAGAGGCTGATATTGGGCACCTCTGGGGCAGGCTGTTGATAGAAGGGAGAGGCTTCAAGCTTTAAGTAAGACGGCCAGCCGGATGCAGTGGCTCACTATAATCCCAGCACTTTGGAAGGCTGAGGTGGGTGGATCACCTGAGGTCAGGAGTTCAAGACAAGCCTGGCCAACATGGTGAAACTCCGTCTCTATTAAAACTACAAAAAAGGCCAGGTGCAGTGGCTCACACCAGTAATCCCAGCACTTTGGGAGGCCGAGGCAGGGAGATCATGAGGTCAGGAGATCAAGACCAACCTGGCCAACACTGTGAAACCCCACCTCTACTAAAACTACAAAAAAAAAAAAAAAAATTAGCTGGGCATGATGGTGCACACCTGTAGTCCCAGCTACTCAGGAGGCTGAGGCAGGCGGATAGCTTGAACCTGGTAGGCAGAGCTTGCAATGAGCCGAGATTGCACCACTGTACTCCAGCCTGGCAACAGAGCAAGACTCCATCTCAAAAAAAGAAACACAAAAAAACAAAGAAGGCCGGGCAGAGTGGCTCACATCTGTAATCTCAACCCTTTGGGAGGCCAAGGCAGGCAGATCATGAGGTCAGGAGTTTAAGACCAGCCTGGACAACATAATGAAATCCCGTCTCTACTAAAAATACAAAAATTAGCTGGATGTGGTGGCGCATGCCTGTAATCCTAGCTACTCAGGACGCTGAGGCAAGAGAATCGCTTGAACCTGGGAGGCAGAGGTTGCGGTGAGTTGGATCGCGCCATTGCACTCCAGCCTGGGCAACAAGAGTGAAACTCTATCTCAAAAAACAACAACAACAAAAAATTAGCCAGGTATGGCGACATGCACCTGTAATCCCAGCTACTTGGGAGGCTGAGGCAGGAGAATCGCTTGAACCCAGGAGGCAGAGGTTGCAGTGAGCCAAAATTGCACTACCGCACTCCAGCCTGGATGACAAGAGCAAAACTCCATCTCAACAAAAAAACAAAAAACAAACAAACTCCCTTGTATAAGACAAGGAGAAAGTCCCCCCGCAAGAGGGGCCCTGTACTCCCTGGCCTTCCCCAACTGTGATCCCAGGATAGCTCTTCAATTTTGAGGGGCTGTGGTCCTGGCAGAAGACCAATCCAGAAGCACCAGGTGCCTCTCCCTTTTCCTGTAGATGAGACTATGTAAGGATTAAGCTGGGAGCACATTACCACTTGACTACTTGTGACGCCCTCTCACTTCTGGAGTCCCACCCAGGAGCTGGAAGACCTAAAGTGAGGTACAGTGGGGAGAAGCAGAGGTGCCTCCTGCCATTTCTAGTGGAAGGAGAGTTTGCCTGACTGAGGGTGGTGGCAAGGGGAAGTTTGGATTTAAAGCCAAGACCCTTTTGGGTTTGGGGAGATCTCTTTAGCACATTTCACATGCTTGTTAGCCTCCATCAGAGGGTGGTGAACCACCAGCGGGAGGCAGCAGTGTACCCACCACAGCAGAAAGCAAATGTGGCCAACACTGAAGGTTTTTCTAGCACACGCCCCTCACCAGCATTCTGATGGGCAGGCAAGTGTTTGGCCTCCGTGGTGTGGAAGGGATGGACCACACACGGCATCTTGGGTCAAGATCCTCCATCACCTTTCGCCCCAATTCTACACTCACTAGGCAACCTTCTGACTTGGTTTCCCACATTATTAGATACTGAAAATTGTGTAGTTTTCCTACAAGAAGAGGGTTTCTCTTTCCCTACCCCCATTAAATGGATGCATTGGCATGCTGGCAAATACATCCACCTTGCATGATGTCAGTAAATGTCCTCTCGTCCCCAAGGGTCAAGCAACTCCAAATGAACCAAGGCCATTTGGTTTTTACCTTGGCCCATGGTGGCTAAACAAACATGCTGCCACTGGTTAGTCCCGGTAGCAACTGGCCAGGGCCCCAGCATAACATCCAGAATTGTTCTTCCTGATGGCTGCTAGGTAGATCTGCCACTAACTCACCCCACACCTTGAGTAAAACAACAGCCTGCTTTCCCATATGCATCAGGAGCAGCCAGAAGTGACCATCTTCTCAAGCCTTTGCAGCTGGGACAGTGTCTCCCTTCTCTCTCTGGGGTAGATGGTAGTACCCTGCAGAGGGTAGGACTAGCACGCAGGGGAGGCATGACCAGGGACAGACAGCTGATGGGGATGGGAGGATGAGATCAGGGCCCCCCTCTCTTCAAATGACTATATGGGTTCACTCAGGGAGGGTGGGACAGATCTGTGATGTTTAGTTCTCTGCTATATCCGGCAGTGTTTTTTTGTTGTTGTTTTTTGAGACGGAGTTTCACTCTTGTTGCCCAGGCTGGAGTGCAGTGGCACTATCTCAGCTCACTGTAACCACCGCCTCCCCAGTTCAAGTGATTCTCCTGCCTCAGGCCTCCCAAGTAGCCTTGGATTACTGGCGCCTGCCACTATGCCTGGCTAATGTTTTGTATTTTTAGTAGAGACAGGGTTTCATCATGTTGGCCAGGTTGGTCTGGAACTCCTGACCTCAGGTGATCCACCCACCTCGGCCTCCCAAAGTGCAGGGATTGCAGGTGTGAGCCATCATGCCTGGCTCTGGCAGTGTTTTCTAAAACATAAAATATAATGTAATGCTCTATGTTATGTTGAAAGAACGTTGGGATTAAAAACAGAAAGTTGAGGCCGGGCGTGGTGGCTCACGTCTATAATCCCAGCACTTTGGGAGGCCAAGGCGGGTGGATCATGAGCTCAAGAGATCGAGACCATCCTGGTCAACAAGGTGAAACCCCGTCTCTACTAAAAATACAAAAATTAGCTGGGCATGGTGGTGTGCGCCTGTAGTCCCAGCTACTCAGGAGGCTGAGGCAGGAGAATTGCTTGAACCCAGAAGGCGGAGGTTGCGGTGAGCCGAGATTGTGCCATTGCACTCCAGCCTGGGTAACAACAGCGAAACTCCATCTCAAAAAAACAAAACAAAACAAAACAAAAAACAGAAAGTTAAAGAAATACTTCAGCTGGGAGAGGTGGCTCATGCCTGTAATCCTAGCACTTTGGGAGGCTGAGGCCAGAGGATCACCTGAGGTCAGGAGTTCAAGACCAGCGTTATCAACATGGTTAAAGCCCATTTCTACTAAAAATACAAAAAAATTAGCCAGGTATGGTGGTGCAGGTCTGTAATCCCAATTACTCAGGAGGCTAAGGCAGGAGCATTGCTTGAACCTGGGAGGTAGAGGTTGCAGTGAGCTGAGATCACACCACTGCACTCCAGTTTGGGCTACAGAGCAAGATTTCATCTCAAAAAAAAAAAAGGCTGGGTGCGGTGGCTCACAACTGTAATCCCCAGCACTTTGGGAGGCCGAGGTAAGTGGATCACCTGAGGTCAGGAATTCGAGACCAGCCTGACCAACATGGCAAAACCCCATCTCTACTAAAAATACAAAAAAAATTAGCCAGGCTTGGTGGCAGGTGCCTGTAAGCCTAGCTACTCAGAGGCTGGGGCAGGAGAATCACTTGAACCCAGTAGGTGGAGGTTGCAGTGAGCCAAGATCTCACCATTGCACTCCAGCCTGGATGACAAGAGCAAGACTTCATCACAAAAAAATTAAAAAAAAAAAAAAAAAAAAAAAAGGACAGGCACAATGGCTCACACCTATAATTCCAGCACTTTGGAAGGCCTCTGGCCAACATGGTGAAACCCTATCTCTACTAAAATACAAAAAATTAACCAGGTGTGGCGGCACGTGCCTGTGGTCCCAGCTACTTGGGAGGTGAAGGCAGGGGAATTGCTTGAACCTGGGAAGTGGAGGTTGCAGTGAGCCAAGATTGTAACAATACACTCCAGCCTGGCTACAGAGCAAGACTCCATCTCAAAAAAAGAAAAGAAATACTTCAAAATACTAATGATGCAATAATCAACTGCACCTCATAGTTTGCTAAGCATATTTGCATTTCATCCACCTCTGAGCCCCCCAAGGCTGTGAGGTGGCATCATTCCCCCATGTTATAGCTGAGAACCCTGAAGTCAGAGGCTGTAACTTGAGGAATGGACTAGGTCACATCCCAACACTGAACCCAAATATGACAAGAAGAGTGGCAGGTGGGCCCAATGGCAGACCTCTAGTCTATCCAGAAATGCCACTCTACATGTGGTTAATAACTCATAGACATAGGGCTGAGGGATAAGCATGGCCTTTATGGGTTAGTTAATATATATTAAAATATTAAAATGAAAATAAATTGTGCCTTGTTTAACAATAGTATTGTTGATAGATCTTCTTGAATAGCCAGAAAAAGAATCTGACAGAAAGAACCAGAAAACAAAGTCTAACAATTTGCTGTTTATGTACAGATGTATAGCAAAATATATACACAAATTTAAAAATAAAATGCTAAGCTAAACTCTACCATGCAAATTCAAGAGAAGAAAGAGGTTTTAATTATAATATTTGGAAGAGAGAAGTTAAGGCTAGAAATAGTAAAAGAGACAAAGAGGGTACTAAAAGGCATAGTTTTTCAAAATATCACTATTAAATATATATGCCCCAACACAATACTTACTGATAATTTATACCCTGCCTGTTTCTCAAAAAGGACTTGAGAAAACTGCACAACATAGGGACAATACACATAAAGATAAACAGAAACTAAAAGTGAAACAGGAGGTGGGGAGTGGTGGCTCACGCCTGTAATCCCAGCACTTTGGGAGGCTGAGGAGGGCAGATCACCTGAGGTCAGGAGTTCCAGACCAGCCTGACCAACATGGAGAAACCCCATCTCTACTAAAAATACAAATTTAGCCAGCATGGTGGTGCATGCCCTAATCCCAGCAGAGGCTGAGGCAGGAGAATTGCTTGAACCCAGGAGGTGGAGGTTGCGGTGAGTTGAGATCATTGCACTCCAGCCTGGGCAACAAAAGTGGAACTCTGTCTCAAAAAAAAAAAAAAAAAAGTGAAACAGGAATATATAAGGAAAAAACACAAAAATCAAACTATGATTACATCAAGTAAATGAGTATTCTGAATGGTTTTGGTGTCACAGAGGCATTTTGCTTGTTTGTTTGAGACGGAGTTTTGCTCTTGTCACCCAGGCTGGAGTGCAATGGCACGATCTCAGCTCACCGCAACCTCCACCTCCTGGGTTCAGGCAATTCTCCTGCCTCAGCCTCCTGAGTAGCTGGGAGTACAGGCACGCGCCACCATGCCCAGCTAATTTTTGTATTTTTAGTAGAGATGAGGTTTCACCTTGTTGACCAGGATGGTCTCGATCTCTACCTCGTGATCCACCCGCCTTGGCCTCCCAAAGTGCTGGGATTATAGGCGTGAGCCACCACGCCCAGCCCACAGAGGCATTTAAAAATATGGCAAATACTACAGATCCCTGTCTCAGCAAAATGTCTTCCTGCACGTACCCAGCTTTGTTTGATCCCTAGGGGTCTGTGACAAACCCCTGCAGGCTCAAGACTCCTAGGTAGGCCATGGACCCTGAGTTGAGAACTCTAAAGTAAATGAAAGCCAGAGAATGTATGGATTTGTATAAAATAATGAAAAAATTGAGTTAACAAATAGAACTGGTAGAAAAAAACACATTTTGAGATTATACAAATGCTTTTATAAAAATTGATAATATATTCAGGCCCAAAGAAGTCCTATGGACTCTTAGAAATGTTGACACCACAGTACAGTAAGAACTAAGCAGCAATACCCTAAGCAGTCATCATTTAGAAATATTCTTAAATAATCACACTTGGGCCAAAAGGAAATTCTTAATACTGTAACAGAAAACACCACATGGCAAAACTTACGAAATGTAGACAAAGCTGTAACTCTAAGAAGAAGAAAAAAATAGAGACCAAAGTTCCTACATACTAGAAATATTTAAAATATGATTAATTATATCTAAGTGATTTTAGAATTATAAGGTAATAAGCCAAACAAAAAGGAGAATACATATATGCAGACAAAACAACAAGATTAGTAAAGAAAAGCAAGAGCTGAAATTTTGTCATAATGACATCTAAGTAAACCACTGCCAGAGAAAGAAAAAACAACAATGAAATTAAAAGATAACTGATTAAAATATCAGCAGGGATGAGCTTGTATAACTTTACATTGTTTGAGAATCTAAATAGAATGAGAGGGTTTTTAAAAATATCCAGTAAGCTGGCCAGGCACAGTAGCTCATGCCTATAATCCCAGCACTTTGGGAGGCCTAGTCAGGCGGATTACAAGGTCAGAAGTTCAAGACCAGCCTGACCAACATGGTGAAACCCCATCTCTATTAAAAATGCAAAAATTAGCCGGGCATCGTGTAATCCAGCTACTCAGGAGGCTGAGGCAGGAGAACTGCTTGAACCCAGGAGGCGGAGGTTGCGGTGAGCCGAGATCCTGCCACTGCACTCCAGCCTGGGCGACAGAGCGAGACTCTGTCTCAAAAAAAAAAAAAAAAAAATTATATACATATAAAATAAAACAAGGAAATAATTTGAACAGAAGGAACGAGGCTCTGCTCATACTTTCAAAACAGAAAAGTACTTGGTTTTATCATGTTTATCTGTTAACCCTTGGGGGAGAGGGGGATCATCATCTCCCTGTTACACAAAAAGAAGAAGAGAGGGAGGGAGGGAGAGGAGAAAGTGCATGTTTTGAAATGCGAGAACGGCACAGAATCATGAGGTGGGAGTAGCGCTGGAGTGAGCAGGGGCAGCCTGAACTCCATGTGGCTTGCTCAGAGTGGGGGAAACCAGGCTAGCTGAAATGAGGGTTTACGTGCAGAAAAACTCCTGAAAGTTGGTTTTAAGGAGTGTGGTGACTTGTGCAAAGTGATGCTTTAAAAATCAATTTGGCTGGGGTGTGCAGGAAGGATGGGGAGGGAGAGACCAAAGGTAGGTAACAGACATTTGCCCGATGATAGCGGTGGGAGAGCGGGTAGGGTAAAGAGGAGGTAGATCTTTCAGAGGCCCCTGCCTTGTGCCGCCTGCTGTCCCAACTGCATCCTAGCGTTTTCTCTTCACACTTGATAGAGACAGGCCACTTGCAGGCAATGCCCAGGGCACCACCCAGTCGGTCCAGCTGGTCATGCAGAGGGTTCTGGTGGAAATAGAGTGCTGATTAAATGTTTCACATATGTAGCAAAGACAGGGGCTAGACAGAGGCATGGCCAGAACTCTTACCATGACCTCTCCAGCCCATCATTTCCGTCATTTGGAAATCTCTGGCCTATCAAGCCCCACTTAGTAACAGTTATGGCGTTCCCATATTTATTAATCAAAACTAGGCATAATGGCCATGCTGAGCTTCTGATCAGCTGAAATAGCCGCTGCTACCATGATAAGTCTATGTTAGCCCAGCCATAAATGTTTAGGGAACTTCAAAACAGCCTAGACTGCCTCCTTCTCTACTAGCTCTGAGCCCGAGGGAAGCCAGAACTAAAGAGATCCCCGAGGCCTGGGACACACACTTTCCAAGCGCCCAGCTGACCAGCACTGCCTGAGCCTATCTCTGAGGCTCCGGGTTGGTGGAGTTAGGAATGGGGGCACTGAGACAGAGCCTTCAAGCTCTGCTCATCCAAAGCCAGCAGGCTGACATTGGAAGCTGTCAGGGGATGCATGAAAGCCCAGCACGGCCGGGCATGGTGGCTCATGCCTGTAATCCCAGCACCTCGGGAGACTGAGGCAGGCAGATCACAAGGTCAGTAGATTGAGACCATTGTGGCCAACATGGTGAAACCTGGCCTCTACTAAAATATAAAAAATTAGTCAGGCGAGGTGGTGCATGTCTGTAGTCGCAGCTACTTGGGAGGTTGAGGCAGGGGAATTGCTTGAACCCAGGAGGCAGGGTTGCAGTGAGCCAAGATCCCACCACTGCACTCCAGGCTGGCAACAGAGCAACACTCTGTCTCAAAAAAAAAAAAAAGCCCAGCACAGGGCCCACAGCCTGGCCACACACTAGGAAGTTATAATCACTATAATCACCTGGGGAGCTTTCAAACATGCCACCATCAGGGCTGACTGAACTGGTCCGGGTGAAACAGGCAATGGTACTGTTTAAACAAGCCCCACGTGAACTCCAGTTGGCAGACAGGGAGGACAGAGAATGTGGAAGTGCAGAATGATGCTGCTACTATAGGAGGCTCAGGACGGCGTCCAAGAGGAAGTGTCCTCAGCATCTGAGGGCGTACACAGCCCAGGCTGTAAGGGGCAGAGGGAGGGAAAGCCCTGTTCAGTAAGAGGTCCCACTGCTCAGACACCAAATGGGAACATCTCTCCAGTCTGCAGAAATGCACAGGGGTGTGGCAGGGGTCACTCTGGGTCTCTGTCCTCAGTCACCATGACTGCTCATAGTTGCCAAAGCACTTTCACATGTGGCCGAGTTCTAAATGACAGCCTGGCACCAACCCTTAGAGGCACATGGCTGGGTCCCATTACCCAACTCTTGGATAGGGAAATGGAGCCTGGGGAGGTTACAGGACTTGTTCAAGTTCACACAGGTAGGAAGGAGTGGGTGGGACTGGGACTTGAACCCAGACCTTCTGATTGGACCACGGCCTCCTCCAACAAGCCAGCCAGCTTCCCAGTTCCCCTGACACTGGGACAGAAGGGCTGCACCACTGCCAGACCAGACCAGACCAGACCCAGCCCTGCTGATGTCCAAGGCACACTGTGGTCTTGGGGACACTGCATCTCAGAGAGATTATTCCTGGAGGGCAGTCATGTCCGGTGCCCAGGCTGAGTCACAGCCAGGTGTCGAACATCCTTTGGCCAACAGGACCAAACCTCTACCCTCCTGTAACGGAGCTGTCTGAGGGAAACTGACCTCGGGCTAAGGAGAGGGTTAAGAAACCACGCCCAGGGACTCGCCACCCTCACCTCCACTCCCAAGACCCACCCTCTAGACCTGCCTTTGCTCTGTTGACCTGTTTGTGTCATCCCTACCGATGCCCAACCCAGTAGGAAAATTCCACTTTGCTGTGGACATATCTACTTTTGAATTCATCTTTCTTCCACTGATTTGGACTGTGAGTGTGGTTTCTGTCTTCTGAAAGTGCCAGACTGCAGCCTGATTTAAAGAGTTCATCTGATATTTTCCTGGGTTTAACTCGACTTTCTCCCTCTTGGCATTTATTCTTCTGGATTCTGGGAAAAGTGAAGCCAGGACAAAATGGAATCCTGCAGGCTTGGGAGTCCAATGCAAGGAGAAACTGAAGGCCAGCTCTTTTCCGGCTGCCCTCCCTATTGCCCTGCCTTCCCTTGCATGCAGGAAACCTGCTGAGAGCTGGCAGTCTTGGCAGGGGACACACGGGGCCTTCCTGCTAGCGGGAGGTTCAGGAGCGCTTAGGTCGGAGGGTTTCCATTCAGCATCAGGGAGGTAGGTGGGGTCTAGAGACCATGTGATGTGGATAAGGGCTCCATCTGGCACAGGCTTTCAAGCCTTGTATAGGCTCCTCCTTCTACAACTTCTCCCCAGAATGGATCTTCTGATGCCGAATCAGGTGCGAGCTGCCCCGGAAGGACTTGCCGCACAGATTGCACACGTAGGGCTTCTCTCGAGTGTGGGTTTTGTAGTGCTCGATGAGGGCTGACCTGTGCCGGAAGGCTTTGCCGCACTCGCAGGTGTAGGGCTTCTTGCCGGTGTGGATTCTCTGGTGCTGGATGAGCGCGGAGCTGTGGCAGAAGGCCTTGCCGCACTGACAGCACTCGTACGGCTTCTCGCCGGTGTGGATGCGCTGGTGCTCAATGAGGGAGGAGCTCTGGCTGAAGGCTTTCCCGCACTTCTGGCATTTGTAGGGCTTCTCGCCGGTGTGGGTCTTGCGATGCTCAATGAGGTTGGAGCTCTGGCTGAAGGCCTTCCCGCACTCATCGCACTTGTAAGGTTTCTTCCCGGTGTGGATCCGCTGGTGTCGGATGAGGTGTGACCTGTGACAAAAGGCTTTCCCACAGAGATCACACTCGTGAGGTTTCTTTAAGGTGTGGATCTTCCGGTGCTGGCTTAGGCCCGAGCTCTGGTTGAAGGACTTCCCACATTCCTTACATTGATAAGGTCTCTCTCCTGTATGAATCCTCTCGTGTTTTCTGAGGCTGGAGCTGCGGCTGAAATCTTTCCCGCATTCCCTGCACTCGTAGGGCCTCTTTCCGGTGTGGATCTTTTGGTGCTGCGTGAGGGCGGAGCTCTGGCGGAAGGCCTTCCCGCACTCCTGGCACTCGTAGGGCTTCTCCCCGGTGTGGATGACTTGGTGCCTGAGCAGGTGGGAGCTCTGGCTGAAGGCCTTCCCGCACTCGCTGCACTCATAGGGCTTCTCCCCGGTGTGGATCACCAGGTGTCGGAGCAGGTGTGAACTCTGGCTGAAGGCCTTCCCGCACTCTCGACATGCGTAGGGCTTGGCTGGTTGGGTTCTGTGAGGCACATTAGGTCCTGAGTCCCCCCTGTCTGTTTCTGCATAATCAAGTGGGCTGGGTTCCTCACCGTGGATTATCTGACACACGCTGAGGTCGGATTTCTGGAGGAAGGTCTGGCCAAACAGCTCATCATCCTGGGCTCTGGTTCCTGGGGGGATACTTTGATGCTGAACAGGGCTTGAGCACAGACTGAAATTGCCCTCGTAATCACCATGTTCCTCGCCTTGCTCACCAAGAGGGATCTCCTTGTAGATCACAGCCATTTGCTCCAAACCTCTTTCCTGAAGAAAAGGGTCCCCCAGGTCATCCCCTGGGAAAAGTCCTTGTTGTGACTCTAACCTGTTCTCAAATGCAAAGGTTTCGCCAAACTTGGTTGCTGGGGGAACCTCCATTGTGAGTCTATCACCCCCAATGGTTGTATCTCTTTAAAAATGTTCTTCTTTGGGCCACGCTCACTGTTTTCACAATCTGAAAAGAAAACGGGGAACGCTGTCAAGTCAGGGAGTCAAGCAGCTCATATGCACCTGCTTCCTGTCCTAGAATCTATGGTGGAAACAACCAAATACACCTAAGACACAATCTTGCCCTTAAGATGGTCCCAAATGAGTTAGAGGCAAGTTTTGCTTACCAGAGACAACTGAAGGCCAGACAGACATAATCAAGTGCCACATCATGGTGTCTAGACTCTATGGGCTGAAGATGTTCAGAAAGGTGAGCTAAAACAGGAAGTGAGGGCTAGGTATGGTGGCTCATGCATATAATCCTAGCACTTTGGGAGGCTGAAGTGGGCAGATGACTTGAGGTCAGGAGTTCAAAACCAGCCTGGTTGTATGGTGAAACCCCATTTCCACCATTAGCCAGGTGTGGTGGTGGGTGCCTGTAATCCCAGCTACTAGGGAGGCTGAGACAGGAGAATTGCTTAAACATGGGAGGCAGAGGTTGCAGTGAGCAGAGATCATGCCACTGCACTCCAACGTGGGCTCAGAGTGAGACTGTCTCAAACAACAACAAAAACCAGGAAGTGGACTGCAGAAAAGGAGCAAGACTCTAGCTACTGGGTGACATCGGGGGTTAGGTTTCACTGGGAAAGAGAAAGAGAGCTCTTCCCTCTACACTAGGTCAGCCGCACTCCCTCTAGCCAGGTGCCCCAGCCTGGGAGTCAGCATAGCCACTCTTATTCTCACCCGACTGGTCCCATCCTACTTCCTGAGGTTGCACGGACGGCATCTCTGCCTCTCAGTCCTCACTGTCACTCTGCAGCTCAGACTTCAGTGTTACCTCCTGGGATCTTTTCAGTGCTGGCCTCCAAACTAGCTGCTGACCCCTGGCTTCTACTTCTCCCTCTGATGCATGCCCTACACTAACACTAGAGTCAAATATTCAAAACACAAGCCTGATTATGGTGGTTCCCTTCTTAGAATCTTGTGACAGCCCAACTCCTTCACACCTGGTCCTTCCAATCCACCTCCCACCTGTCTTTCCATACACTTCTTTTTTTTTTTTGAGATAGCCTCTTAACCTGTTGCCTAGGCTGGAGTGTAGTGGTGTGATCTTGGCTCACTGCAACCTCTGCCTCCCAGGCTCCAGTAACCCTCCCACCTCAGCCTCCTGAGTAGCTAGGACTACAGGTGTGTGCCACCACGCTCTGCTAATTTTCTTAATTTTCTTTTTTTTTTTCCTTTTGTAGAGACGAGGTCTCACTGTATTGCCCAGGCTCGTCCCCCCAGCACTTCTAATTTTCCAGCTTGGTGACTAATTTGCACTGTTGTTGTCTGGTCCTAACAGGTCCTTCTGCCATTCTCAGACTGCCACTTGCTCATCCTTCAGGACTTGTCCAAATGTTCCCTTTTCTCTGCACCCTCAGGTTCTTGACCATCTCAGGCCGCCGCCGTTAGCTTGAAAATTCCCTAACGGCAAATACTATGCTCCTTCATTTCAGAATAATCCAGCCCCCAGCACAAAAGCACAATCCCAGTGTACACAGTTGTTGAATAAATGATCAAATGGAGGAAAAGCCATTTGTTTCTGTGCCAGAACTGTCATCTGTTCTGGTCAAAGAATACTTTATTCAAATAAGTCAGCTGACTAGGACAGGGATCCCCAACTTCCGGGGCAGGGGACGGGCACCAGTCTGTGGCCTGGTAGGGACCGGGCTGCATACCAGGAAGTCGAGCAGTAGGTTTGTGAGCATTATAGCCCGAGCTCTGCCTACTGTCAGATCAGCAGTGGCATTAGATTCTCAGAACTTGAACCCTATTGTAAACTGCGCATGCGAGGGATCTAGGTTGTGCATTCCTTATTAGAATCTAATGCCTGATGATCTGAGGTAGAACAGCTTCATCTCAAAACCATCCCCCATGTCCTACCCATTCATAGAAAAATCGTCTTCTGCAAAAACTGGTCCGATGCCAAAACCGTTGGAGACCACTAGGAGATATAAATAAATAAAACAGACAAAAGCAGAGTTGCCCCAGTCAAAGGAGGGTGCTTTAGCAGGGACAAGGAAGGAAGCTAGAACAGCCCACTCAGCACCCCTCCCCCCAGCTGTGGCCCCTGAGGAAGCCCCGCAGAGCCCTATTCAGAAACTTCTGTGCTAGGTAAAGGCAAAGTCCTCAGGTGACACAATCATGAAAGCAACAGTGCATATTCACTGAGCACCTAGTATGTGCTAGGCACTAATAGGTCCTTCGTGGCATCTCATTTAATCCTCAGAGCTCTATACAAAGGTACTATTATCTTTTTCTTTTTTTTTTTTAGACAGAGTCTCGCTCTGTCGCCAGGCTGGAGTGCAGAGGCGTGATCTTGGCTCACTGCAACCTCTGCCTCCTGGGTTCAGGCGACACTCCTGCTTCAGCTTCCCAAGTAGCTGGGATTACAGGCGTGTGCCACCACGCCCAACTAATTTTTGTATTTTTAGTAGAGATGGGGTTTTGCTGTGTTGCCCGGGATGGTCTCGATCTCTTGACCCTGTGATCCGCCTGCCTCGGCCTCCTAAAGTTTGGGGATTACAGGCGTGAGCCACTGGGCTGGGCGCCCAGTACTTTATACTGAATCTTTTTTTTTTTTGAGACGGAGTTCTGCTCTTGTTACCCAGGCTGGGGTGCAATGGCGTGATCTCGGCTCACTGCAACCTCCGCCTCCTAGGTTCAGGCAATTCTCCTGCCTCAGCCTCCTGAGTAGCTGGGATTACAGGCACGCGCCACCATGCCCAGCTAATTTTTTGTATTTTAGTAGAGACGGGGTTTCACCATGTTGACCAGGTTGATCTCGATCTCTTGACCTAGTGATCCACCCGCCTCGGCCTCCCAAAGTGCTGGGATTACAGGCTTGAGCCACCGCGCCCGGCCTATACTGAATCTTTATACTGAATACTTTATAATGAATCTTTATACTGAATACTTTACACTGAATCTAGTAACTGCCTCAAAAAAAAAAAAAAGAGGAAAACCAAATTAATCAGAATAGTCATAACAGAACTCATTTCTACTTGGGAAAAAAACTTTTTTTTTTTGAGACAGGGTCTCACTCTGTCACCCAGGCTGGAGTGCAGAAGTGGAATCACAGCTCACTGCAGCCTTGACCTCCCCAGCTCAACTGATCCTCCCACCTCAGTCTCTCAAGTAGCTGGAACTACAGGGGCATCTCACCATACTGGGTTAATTTTTTAATTTTTCTGTAGAGATGAGATAATATTATGTTGTCCAGGCTGGTCTTGAACTCCTGGGCTCAAGCAATCCTCCCATCTCCGCCTCCCAAAGTGCTGGATTACAGGCATGAGTCACCACTCCCAGCAGAAATGATTTTTTTTTTTTTGAGATGAAGTTTCGCTCTTGTCACCCAGGCTGGAGTACAACCTCCGCCTCCTGGGTTCAAGTGATTCTCCTGCCTCAGCCTCCTGAAAAGCACCCTCTATCATGCCTGGCTAATTTTTGTATTTTTAGTAGAGATAGGGCCAAGCTGGTCTATCTGTCACCATGTTGGCCAAGCTGGTCTCTAACTCCTGACCTCAAGTGATTTGCCTACTGGAGCCTCCCAAAGTGCTGGGATTACAGGCATGAGCCACGGCACCCGGCCCAGGAATAATTTTTTAAAATGATTTTTCAGCCAATAGAAAGACTGGCTATGAAAAAAAGCACTGAACTAAAGTATTTTCTTTTTCCAGGATGGAGTGCAGGGGTGTGATTACAGCTCACTGCAACCTCTGGCTCCCCGGGCTCAAGTGATTCTCCTATCTCAGCCTCTTAAGAAGCTGGGACTACAGGCATGTGCCACCACACCTCGCTAATCTTTGTATTTTTTGTAGAGATGGGGTTTCGAAATGCTGCCCAGGCTGGTCTTGAATTCCTGAGCTCATCTGATCCACCCATCTCAGCCTCCCAAAGTGCTGGTATTATAGACAGGAGCCCCCTTGTCCAGCCCTAAAGTGTTTCAAACACTCTTTGTTCAACTCCTCCCCCTCCCCCTCCCCCTTCTCTTCAGCAATCCATAATCTCCAACCCTTCCAGCTCTCTCACTCAGTTTGTGCTTTCACCCTCATGAAATCCAAGCCCCCATTTTTACCCTAGCTCTCCTCTTCCAGTTTCACCCCCTCTCCATCCAGCTTAGACCCTCCCTATCCATAGTAAGTCTAACTATTCGCGTCACTTCAACTCTCACACCGCAGCGCCATGCTCCTCACCTCCTAGTCGGCGGCAACCACAGCCGCTAAGTCCCAGCCTTCTCTGCCAATTCCTCCTAAGCTGTTCAATGTTGCCAAGAACAATCATACAACTATGTATGGCACCACGACAAATTTCAAGTTTCCGATTTCAGCTGCGACCTCAGCTCTGGCATCCGATGACTTCCTTATTGCCAAGTCCCTCTCTTCTCAGTCCTCACCTTCCCACCCCGTCTGGCACTGCTCTCCAATACCTCCTTCTCAAAACCCTTCATTTCCGAGGTTGCAAATTGGCAGCCTGGAGATCCTGCTACGTTATGTTTGGCTCTCGAAGAGTTCGGCTTTTCCTGTTCATTTTCCTTAGTTGCCAATACTGAAAACTCAGTAGGTTTCTGGCTTTCTCTTAAAAACGAAGATGTGACAATATCCCTTCACCTGCCCATACTGCCTACCTGGGTGCATGAAAGCTTTGAGCTACCCCTCAACCCCATCCCCACCCTCGCTTTCTTCCCTTGGTTGCTGACAGCTTTCTTCCCAATTTTCACGCCTTCCAAGTTCTCTTTCTTGGTATCCTTAGATTGCAACTCTTCCTCCACCCACCTGTTAAATCCTGGTGTTCCCAAGCTTCCCTCCGTAGAAGCTTTCCATTCCCACTGTGTAGCCCTTACACGCTGAAGTCTCCATTCAGGATTAAAAGTTGGCAATTCTTTATCTGTTCCCCCACAACATGTTAAGTGTTTTTGGACCGAAAATGCAAAGGTCTGGAACTCCATGCTTCCCACCTCTCTCCGGGCCTTCCCCATAATCTTCAGCATCTGTCATCCCATCCTTTAGAAAGTCCCCAGGACCTGGGCGCCGGGCAAACCCTTAGTGCAGTCAAGGTTTCCTGGCTGGGGGCCCAAGAGTGGCCACGGACCCGCACACGCTGCCCAGGCGGCGACGTGGCGCCCCTACAGGTTTCCCCGCAACTGGGCACACACACGCCCAGAGCCACCGGAGGGACAGGTGGTCAGGCGGACTCGGGTCACACCGGCGGACGCTGGGCCACTCACCTGGGCCAGGGCGGGGCAGTTCACCTGGCCGGGGCGGGGCCGCAGGCGGGCGGGGCGGGGCCGCACCTGAGCTGCTCCAACCCGCGGCCGACGCGGCCGACGCGGCCGACGCGGTCTCGCTCCGCGGCAGCTGCTGACGCGGAGCCCGCGGCCGCCCGAGCGCCCAGAGCCCCGCCCCCGGCCCGCAGGCACTTCCGGGACTACTCTAGGCCGCGCGGAGGTCCCGGCGTCTCGGTGGTCCCGGCGTCTCGGTGGTCCCACCGTGCCGGGTGTCCCTGCGCTTAGCGTCCCGGGCCCCGGGACACAAGGACCCGAGTCAGGAGAGTCTCTCCGGTCGGCGTGGTGGCTCTGGCTGTCCCCGAGGCGCATGCTGGCCGTGAGGGAAACAGGGGTGGGCAGGCGTTGGCAGGAAAGCAGAGGAGGAAACAGATCGGGACGGGCGGGCGGACCTAGAGCCGCCGGCACTCGGGGCACCTGCGCTGGGGCCGGGTGCAAGCCGGAAGCCACTGAGGCGGTTGGGGTCTTCAGGGGAATTAGAGTGGAGCCCCAGAGCTGTCGACCCTGTCACTCTGCACAGGCCCCAGGGTCCTTTAGGATCCCCCTCCCTCCACCTGCTTCAAGGGTAGCCCTGGTCCTGCCTCCCCTCCTCGCCCCCACAGAAAAAGATAAGAAGGAGGAGCCGGCGAAGACCCAAGAGTGTTTTCGGGACCATCCCAGGACCTTAAGCCGCCCAGCTGTGTGCATCCTAGGGCTGACTTCCACAAGAAGCACCTCTCTGGGGCACCGGGAGGGAAGAGTAATGTACTGAAATCTCTGCCCCCTCCTTGGGGCTGATGGCAAGACTGGCCCCTCCACCGAATGTTCCGCCCGTGGCCGCCCCCCATCCCCACCCCCCGCCATCCCAGCTCAGGTGCAGCTGCCCAGCTTGTGGGAGAGCCTCCCTCTGCAGACCTTGGCCCAATCACAGGACATCAGGAGAACACATTGTCCCTGGGGAAAGGGGTTCCGCCCCAGCCATCTACCCACCCGCCTTCAGCACCTTCAGCCCTGGCACTCGAGTGCCCCTCATGCTGCCCACACACATCTGCCTTCCTGCCCCATCAATGCTATGGAGTTGGGCCTTGGGCACAGATTCCAAGGGGTAGGCAGTGGCTGCCCCTCCCCAAACCAACAGCCTGAGCTCCATGGGGACCAGCCACCCTAGACCCCTGAGCCTTGGACCACAACCAGCCTTGCAGTGCTGGGGGAGGCAAGGCCTGGTTCCTTTTTCTCCTTCCAGCTGCTCAGGTCACATAAAGGTCAGGCCACCAGTTAGTGTCCCCAGGGGGCTGGGGGGAGTCTGGGCCATGCCCCAAGGGTCTCAGGTGCTTCCTCTTTGACAATAGTCCCCAGAATCCCCATTCCCCCCAACACTGCACCCCCCCGACCCCAGGAGTGGGTCTTTGACTCCCGGACCCACCGCAGTCACTTTTTTCAGCCAGAATCTCGTGGCCCTCACATAGCTGTTGCTGACATGTTAAATGTTATTAACCCATTTTACAGAGGGGAAGCAAGGCTCGCAGAAAGTTAAAAAGGGGCCCAAGGTCAGGGACAGAAATGGGAGGCAGACGGGAGGCACTCGTCTCACACCCCACCCCTAGGGACCAGAGCCGTAGCCAACAGAGCAGTAGTAATCTGCGTCATCCTCCGGCTGCACAGGGCTGATGGTGAGGACACAGGCATTGTGGGCTTCATCCTTGGCTGCTGAGAATCGGTCAGGGATGTCAGTGGGCCGGTGGTGATCCTCCTCTGAGCGGTAGTAGAGGAGATATCGAGGGGCACTGCCTGCCCGCTGCTGGTACCAGGACACACCGTAGTCCTCGATGGTGACGTGCTGGGGGCTGAGCGTGCAAGAGAGTTGAGCCACTTGGCCTGGGAAGACCAGCAGTGCATCCGGCTGGGCCAGGACTGGCTGGGAAGCTGAGAGACACAAACCCACTCAGGCCCAGCCTGAGCCTCTTCCCTCCCACCCCTGCCCTATGAAGGGTTGGTTGGACTCCAAGGAGATTCTCCCAAAGGGCTCACAGCCCAGTGCCATGGGATTAGCAATGAACTGGGTGCAGGAGGCCTAGCTCTGTGTGTCTTAGGGTGCCCTCTCTGGGCCTCCATCTGCCTTTTTGAGTAAGGGGTTTGGATTTAGCAGCCCCCAAGTCCCCATTAGTGCCACATCCCCAAAGATCCATGTTCAGTTAAAGGCCCGGAGCTGAGGGTTGGACTAGTAACCTCTAGGTCCCTCTGCTACCTACCCATGTTTCTCTGTAGAATTGCACCCCCCTCCCCCCCACCCCCTTCACTCCAGCTCTTCCAAACCCTGAACACAGACTAACCAGGCCTAGGAACCTCCTGGGCTGTCCCACACATCAACTCAGCCTCAGGCAACTGGCTGCAGGGACCTTCTCAGGGAGGTAAGATTGCCTCAGGCCCTGTGGGGTACAGAGCAGCCCGCAATAGCTTCCCCTGTGAAAAACTAAGAAGGAGACCCCAAAATCAGAGTCGGGGGCTCTAGTGGTCTGGTCGTTCACAAATAGGAAAACCAAGGCCCACACAGGGAAGTGATTTGCCCCAGGTCAAGGGCAGAGCTGCCTGAAGCCAGGTCTCCCCTCTACCTTAATATCCCTCCCAGGACCTGCGCTACTGTCCCCATCGATTTGCCTCCGTGAAGGGGTCTTCTGGGGCCAGTATGGTTCCCCACCCTACACCCAGGTGAGTGAGGCCCACGGAGGATTCACCTGACATTAAAGTCCCCATCAGAAGGAGGCTGAGGCACCAGCAGGCCATGGCCAGAGGCAGGGAGGCAGGCAAGGAGTTCTGCAAAGCTATATGCTCCAGGCGCTTTGGGGCACAGGGCTGGGAAGGCCACTGGACCACAACAGAGCATGCAAATCAGCCTAATGACTGAGGAAGGAGGGGCGGAACTGGGGCCAATGGCTAGGCCCTATCTTCCCAAATATCAGGGTCCTGGCTCCACAAGGCCATCTGAGAACAGGAGCCCAGACGTCTTCACATGCAGGTACAGCAGGTAGAAATATACTTTTTTATTGAGGCACAAGTAGCATACAATAAAGTACATAAATCTTAAGTGTATAGCTTGGTGATTTTTTTTTTTTTTTTTTCTGAAACAGAGTTTCGCTGTTGTTACCCAGACTGGGGTGCAATGGCACGATCTCAGCTCACCGAAACCTCCGCCTTCTGGGTTCAAGCAATTCTCCTGCCTCAGCCTCCCAAGTAGCTGGGACTATAGGCGCGCACCACCATGCCCAGATAATTTTTGTATTTTTAGTAGAGATGGGGTTTCACCTTGTTGACCAGGATGGTCTCGATCTCTTGACCTCGTGATCCACCCGCCTCAGCCTCCCAAAGTGCTGGGATTATAGGCGTGAGCCACCGCGCCTAGCCAAGCTTGGTGATTTTATGTATACATACGTATGCCCCTGCACATGCAAGTACACAGACACACAGACCTCTGCAACCTCCACCCAGATCAAGATTTAGAACATCTCGGCTGAGCTCAGTGGCTCATGCCTGTAATCCCAACACTTTGGGAGGCCAAGGCAGGTGGATCACCTGTCAGGAGTTTGAGACCAGCCTGGCTGACATGGTGAAACCCCATCTCTACTAAAAATACAAAAATTAGCTGAGGCTGGTGATGTGTCCCTGTAGTCCCAACTACTGGAGAGGCTAAGTCAGGAGAATCACTTGAACCCAGGAGGCAGAGGTTGCAGTAAGCCAATATCTCACCACTGCACTCCAGCCTGGGTGAAAGAGCGAGACTCCACCTCAAAAAAAGAACATCTCCGGCAGGGCACGGTGGCTCAAGCCTGTAATCCCAGCACTTTGGGAGGCTGAGGTGGGTGGATCACAAGGTCAAGAGATGGAGACCATCTTGGTCAACATGGTGAAACCCTGTGTCTACTAAAAATACAAAAAAATTAGCTGGGCATGGTGGCGCACGCCTGTAGTCGCAGCTACTTGGAAGGCTGAGGCAGGAGAATTGCCTGAACCCAGGAGGTGGAGGTTGTGGTGAGCTGAGATTGCGCCATTGCACACTCCAGCCTGGGTAACAAGAGGGAAACTCCGTCTCAAAAAAAAAAAAAAAAAAAAAAAAAAACACCTCCATCTCCCCTGAGATCCCCTCAGTTAACAACGATCCGCACCCTGAAGGGAATCATCATTCTGACTTCTATCACGTTAACTAGTTTTTGCCTGCTCTAGAACTTCAACTGTGTCCTCTTCTGTGCCTGTTTCTTTTGTTGAACATTATGAGAGTGATCCATGTGTGTGCAGCAATATTTCATTCACGGCCATAGCTGTGTGTAATCCATTGTGTAAATGCATCATAATCAGTTTCTCCATTCTCCTATTATTAGACATTTGGATGCTCTCCAGTCTTTGGCCATTACAAATAAAACTTCTGTGAACGTCTCTGTCAATGTCTTTCGGTCTATTTGTGCTGGATAGACACCCAGGAATGGAGCTGCCGGATGGCAAGGAAACAATACATTTAGCTTTACTAAGTCTTCCAGGGTTCCCCATGTGTTTGTACCAATCTACGCTTCCACCAGCAGATTAAGAGAGTTTACAGTGACTTCGCATCCTCACCAGGAATTGACATTGTCACAACCTTTTTAATTTGCCAGGATTCCAAGTAGCTGAGGTGGTTTTTTTTTTTTTTTTTTTGAGATGGAGTTTCACTCTTGTTACCCAGGCTGGAGTGCAATGGCACGATCTCAGCTCACTGCAACCTCCGCCTCCTTGGTTCAGGCAATTCTCCTGCCTCAGCCTCCCGAGTAGCTGGGACTATAGGCACGAGCCACCATGCCCAGCTAATTTTTGTATTTTTAGTAAAGACGGGGTTTCACCTTGTTGACCAGGATGGTCTCGATCTCTTGACCTTGTGATCCACCCACCTTGGCCTCCCAAAGTGCTGGGATTACAGGTGTGAGCCGCCGCACCCTGCCACTGAGGTGGTTTTGAACTTGGGTTTGAATCCCAGCTCCTGCTCTTCTTAACTGCATGACTTCAGCCAAGTTACTTCCCCCAACTGTGCCTCGGTTTTCTTATCTGGAACTTGAAGTTAAGCATAGTCGGCCTGAGGATTGTGAAAATGCAAAGATGACACCTGTTTGCTCAGTGCTGGCCGCAGAGGGTAGATTAACCGTGTCATTTATTTTCTGCATTCCAATGCTCTGTAATCTGGGGCCTTGTCGACCATTGAGGGACTCACCCTCCCAGGGTTACCCAGTCCCTATAAATAGTAAATAACTCTATTTTTTTGAGACAGAGTCTCTCTTGTCGCCCAGCCTGGAGTGCAATGGCACCATCTCCACTCACTGCGACCTCTGCCTCCTAAGTTCAAGCGATTTTCCTGCCTCAGCATCCCGAGTAGCTGGGATTATAGGTATGTGCCACCATGACTGGCTAATTCTTTTTGTATTTTTAGTAGAGGTGGGATTTCACCATGTTGACTGAGCTGGTCTGCATCTCCTGATGTCAAATGATCCACCAGACTCAGCCTCCCAAAGTGCTGGGATGAAAGCATGAGCCACCTCACCCAGCCATGATAGTAAATAACTCTTCTGAAAGCATGCTTTTTTTGTTTTGTTGGGTTTTTGTTTTTTGTTTGTTTTTTTTTTTGAGATGGAGGAGTCTCATTCTGTCGTTCAGGCTGGAGTACAGTGGCTCACTGCAACCTCTGCCCCCTGAGTTCAAGCAATTCTCCTGCCTCAGCCTCCTGAGTATCTGGGACTACAGGTGCGTGCCACCATGCCTGGTTAATTTTTTGTGGTTTTAGTAGAGATGGGGTTTCATTGTGTTAGCCAGGATGGTCTTCATCTCCTGACATCGTGATCTGCTTGTCTTGGCCTCCCAAAGTGCTGACGTTACAGGGGTGAGCCACCACCCACCGCACCTGACCAGCAAAAGCATGCTTTTCAAACTCAAGCCAACTAATCCCAAACCCCTCAACCCCATTCTTTATTCTGCTCTTCTACTCCCTAATCTCTCCAGGGCCATGTATCAGACAACTAGGGACAGCCTGTGCCCCAGAATCCACTTTAATTATTCATTCCTAATCCTGGCCTGCCCAGCCTTGGAAACCACAATAGAGGCCCTCGCCCACAGCTCCTCCCTCCCCCTCTGCCTGCCCATCAACTGTGGGTGCTTCCTGTGTGGAAGTGTACTCCCTTTTTTGGGGAAATTTGAGTAACAAACTATCTTTTCTTTTCTTTTTCTTTTTTTTTAAAGATGGGGTTTCACCATGATGGCCAGACTGGTCTTGAACTCCTGGCCTCAGGTGATCCACCCACCTTGGCCTCCCAAAGTGCTAGGATTACAGGCGTGAGCCACTGCGCCTGGCTTCAAACTATCTTTTCTTTTCTTTTTTTTTTGAGACAGTCTCGCTCTGTTGTCCAGGCTAGAGTACAAGTGGCACAATCTCAGCTCACTGCAACCTCCACCTCCCAGCTTCAAGCGATTCTCCTGTCTCAGCCTCCTGACTACCTAGGATTACAGGCGCACTCACCAGCATGCCCAGCTAACTCTTTTGTGTTTTTAGTAAAGACAGGGTTTCACCATGTTGGTCAGAATGGTCTCAAAATTCTGACCTCTGGGGATCCACCTGCCTCCGTGTCCCAAAGTGCTGGGATTATAGGTGTGAGCCACCATCTGGCCACAAACTATCTTTCCAATGGCACTTTTCGCCCCTCCCCTCCCCTACTCTCCCCTCCCCTGCTTTCTCTCCCCTTCTCTGCCCTCCCCTCCTCTGCCCTCCCCTCCCCTCCCCTCCCTTCTACCTCCTTACACTTCCCTTTCTTTTCTTCTCTTTTTTCTTTCCTTTTTTTTGAGACGAGGTCTCACTCTGTCGCCCAGGCTGAAATGCAGCGGCTTGATCATAGTTCACTGCAGCTTTGAACTCCTGGGCTCAAGCAGTCCTCTCACCTTAGTCTCCCGAATAGCTAGGACTACAGGTGCATGCCACCATGCCTGGCTAATTCTTTGTTTTTATTTAATTGACGTACTTATTTTGAGACTCGCTCTGTTGCCCAGGGTGGAGTAGAGTGGTGTGATCATAGCTCACTTGCAGCTTCGAACTTTTGTGCTCAAGTGATCCTCCCACCTCAGGCTTCTAAGTAGCTAGGACTACAGATGTGAGCCACGATGGCCGGCTAATTCTTCGAAATTTTTTTTTCGTAAAGACAGGGTCTTGGGCCGGGCGCGGTGGCTCAAGCCTGTAATCCCAGCACTTTGGGAGGTCGAGGCGGGTGGATCACAAGGTCAAGAGATCGAGACCATGCTGGTCAACATGGTGAAACCCCGTCTCTACTAAAAATACAAAAAATTAGCTGGGCATGGTGGCGCGTGCCTGTAATCCCAGCTACTCATGAGGCTGAGGCAGGAGAATTGCCTGAACCCAGGAGGTGGAGGTTGCTGTGAGCCGAGATCGCACCATTGCACTCCAGCCTGGGTAACAAGAGCAAAACTCCATCTCAAAAAAAAAAGACAGGGTCTTACAAAAGGAAGGAGAAAAGGAAGAACGAAGGAAGGAAAGAGAAAGGAGAGAGAGAGTAAGATGGAGGGAGGGAAGGAGTGGGGAATGAAGGGAAAGAAAGGGACGGGGAGTGTGAAACCTAGACAGAAAGAAGAGGAAGACAGAGAGGAGGGGAACTAGAAGGGGAGAGACTGCGAGAAGCAGAAAAATGTAAAAGATGGGAAATGGCCGCGTGTGGTGGCTCATTACTCCAAAAGTAATCCCAGCACTTTTGGAGGCCAAGGCAGGCAGCACTTGAGGTCAGGAGTTCCAGAGCAGCCTGTCCAACATGGTGAAACCCCATCTCTACTAAAAATACAAAAAATAAGCTGGGTGTGGTGGTGCACGCCTTTAGTCCCAGCTACTGGGGAGGCTGAGGCAAGAGAATTGCTTGAACTCAGGAGGTGGAGGTTGCAGTGAGCCAAGATCATGCCACTGTACTCTAGCTTAGCTGGAGAGTCTGTGTCGAAAAAATAAATAAAAATACATAAATAAATAAATAAAAGACAGGAAATGACGGTGAGAACTGGTGTGAGGGACTAGCTAGTGGTGAGGGCTAACAAGGACCTGCTATGGACCTGGAACCAACTAGGGCTGACTATGAATGGGGCAAAGGAATTTGGGGGCGATGGAAATGTTCTGTATCTTGACTGTGGTGGTGGTTATATGAGAGTTGGCAAAACTTGCAAGCACCAGAAAGGGTGAACTTTACTGTACTGTATGTAAATTATACTTCAGTTGGAGGGAGGTAGCTCCTATCTGCAATCCTAGCACTTTGGGAGGCTGAGGCAGGAGAATTGCTTGAGCCCAGAAGTTCGAGACCAGCCTAGGCAACATAGGGAGACTCTCCCTAAAAAAAAAAAGTACAAATTTGAAATGAAACAAAATAAATATACCTCAATAAACCTGCCTAGCAAGAAGAGAAAAAGAAACAAGTAGAGAAGAAAAGGGGAATGGCTGGGAGTGAGGAGGAAGGTGGAGAGAGAAAGGAAACCAGCAGGGGAAGGGAACTTGAGTGGGTAGAGACCACACACAGAGAGTGGGTGGTGCCGCTGGAGAAACCGCCCTGGGGGCCAGGCTCCAATCCCTTCGGCAGGGAATGCCAGCCCCCGCTTCTCCTTCCCACCCGTCCCACTCGGCCCCAGTATTCCATTAACGGATACAGGGAGGAAGGCATTTCCTGCCTAGTTGTCTCCGCCCCCAGTGCCATGGAGACCAGCCTGGAAGCTTAGGGGAGTTGCTGTGGCCCAGGGCGCAGTGGGAAGAGAAGGCCAGGAGTCTTGGACTAGCTGCAGGGTTTGAGCTAGGCTGATGCAGCAGAACCACAGAGGTGGCTGAGCAGGGGCCTGGCCCTGGGACCACCCAGCCATCCACGCTCACACATCCACTTCTCTCTCCAGAGCCCCGCTCTGGAGCAGGTCTCAGCTCCAGGTTTTTCCTTAGTTGGGGAATCGGAATTTGGGGGATCAAAGCCCCTCACATCGCTCTTCCCCACCGCAGCTATGTTTATCAAGGTGATGTTTGGGGGTAAGTGGGGGCCCCTGTCTTGGCAGGCGGGTAAGGGGATGAGCACACTCAGAGACGAGCTTCCTTCCACCCTTGGGGAGGGTGGAGAGGCAATGGCGGGAAAGAGGGGTGCAGATGGCAGGGATCGGGGAAGCGACTCTGTGAGGAGGCAAAGCGAGCACCTGGAGCGAGTTCCTTGCAGAGAAAACCCGAGCTGAGTTTGCCTGCCCATTCACGAGGGCTCCCGCCGCACCGTCCTGCAGCAGGTTTTTAAACCGCACAATCTGTTTGCCATTCAATCCGTGATCCTCAAACTTCAGCGTGCATCGGACACCTGAAACTCTCGCCAGTTGCAGGTTCCCCGTCCCTCTGGTTGGAGGCGGGTCGGTCCAGTGCAGGAGCAGCGGAGGGAAAGAGGGGAACCTGAGGGTGCGGAGGGCGGGGCCGGGCCGGATCCCGTGGGGGCGGGGCCCGCGGGGAGGCTGGGCTGGTGCGCACTTCATGCTTTGCAGGCCCCAAGACACGCAACACTTGGGAGATGGATGGAGGGGTCTCTCCAAGGCAGTTTAAGCCACAGATGTCGGAGCTGTTGTGCCTGGGGCAGTCCTAGCCCCATAAGCCCAGTTGCAACTCTGGGAAAGGGAGAGATGGGAGGGAGAGACAGAGGACCCCAGATTTCCAGGAAAGTCTGGGATCCCACACACTCACCTCTGCCCCTCCTCCACAGCTGGCAGCTCCGTGCTGGTGAACACCTCCTGTAGGCTGGTGAACCTCACCGCCCACCTGAGGCAGAAAGCAGGATTGCTCCCAGATGGTGAGAAGGCAGAGAGAAGGAGGGGCTGAGGGGTCCCAGGCAGGGGTGCCAGCCCTGCCCAGCCTCTCTCCATGGCCTCCCAGTGACCCTTGCTCTCCTGGCTGAGGACGGCAACCTCGTGAGCCTGGAGGAGGACCTGAAGGAAGCGGCTTCCGGCGCCCTCACCATAGGCAGCTCACTGCTGAAGGAGCGAGCCACCTTTGTCCTTGTTCGGATCATCAGTAAGGTGGCCCAAGGCTCTCTCCCCTGCAGCTATGTTAGAATGTAAGAGTGGGGGTAGCAGACCAGAGACCACCCAAGACCCTGCCCAGCCTCCCACCTTGGCTGGGGACCTAGCCCCAATCCATCCCCACCCAATGCCCTGCCCCAGCCTGGACTAGCAACAGTTCCAGAGTGAGAGGCAGAGTAGGGACCATCAGGCCAGTCAGGTATCCTTCATCCTTTCTCCACATGCCACAGAGGGAGAGGGCATGGCCCCCACCCGCTATGAGTCCCTACTGGAGAACCTGGATGACCACTACCCAGAGCTGGGAGGTGAGTGTCAGGGCACAGCGCAGGGGGAGGGCACAACTTCTCCCCAGCCCCTACCAGCAGGACTTCTCGGGCCTTCCAGAGGAACTGCGCAGGCTGTCAGGCCTCTCCTCTGTGGGCTATGACTGGAGGAAGCGCATGGGCACTCGGCACGGCCACCATGAGCAAAGCCCTGCTTCAAGGTCCAGAAAGGTGAGCTCCCTGTCACCCAGGAGTTGCTAGCTGGGACCAGGAGCCAGGTATGGAGGAGATATGGACACCCAGGGAGACACCCAGAATGGGACCCCTACCTGCGGGCCAAACACATATGATGAGAGGCAGACCCTCCAGACCAACTCCATGCACATATGCCCCGAGATGGGACACACTGTACCCTGAAACAGGTCCCCACCACCCCACTGGAGTGCCAGCACATGAAGGGCAGCAATGTCCTCAGGCTGATGTGGCGTAGTGCCTGGCACACAGTAGGAGCTCAGTGCACGACTGCTGGACGAACTCAATGAAGGTGGCAGCATGTGTGTGATGGCACGGCCTGCACTGGGTTTGAAGGTCCTGTTCCTCTGTTCTGGCAAGCCCGGGGACCTGGCACACTACTGCCAGCTAGCCAAGTTGGACTCAGACCCAAGGGGGTTAGCCATGACCTCTGTCTCGTGTGATCAGATGCAAACAGACAGCAACCCAGCAGGACTCCTCTTTCAGAATCTGGAAATGCTGAGAAGTTGCATCAGCAAGAGGGCAAGGTCAGACAGGATGTGAGGACGCTGGGGGCCCCGAAGCTGTGGGTACAGAGAATAGGATGCAGAAGCAGAGACAAGAAGGGTAGAGGTTAAATTAGCCAGGCATGGTAGCTCGAGACTGTTGTCTCAGCTACTCAAGAGGCTGAGGCAGGGGAATCGCTTGAACCCGGGAGGCGGAGTTTGCAGTGAGCTGAGATTGTGCTGCTTCAGCCTGGGTGACAGAACAAGACTCCGTCTCAAAAAAAAAAAAAAGAAAAAGGGGGTAGAGGTGGCAGGCATTTCTGAAAAGGGGGAGATGATGGGTTCATCCTGGGATTACACCTTCAGAATCAGGTACACTTGGGATTACCTGCTAATGCCTCTCCACACCACTCTGGACTGTCCAAGGCATCTGTCCTGTGCTACCTACGGTGCAGATGGCAACAGGGCTCCTCCTCCCCATCCCTGATTAAGGTGACGGACTGCACACTGTAGTGAGATATCCATCCTGACCCCACCTCATCAGCCAAGGAGCTCTCCGAAGACCGGCCATTGAGAGAGGCACACAGCAAGATGTGGTCTAAAATAAATCCTTTTAATTGCACATTTGTGTCTTGGGTTAACTGTGGAGTGAGAAGCCTCCTCCTCACTTGCAATCCCAGCTATCTGCATACCATCTAGTGTTGTGGTCTAGCTGTTGACCAGGGGCAGAGGTCGATGCAGGGCTAGCCCGAGTGCACCCACATCTTCAGGGCAGGGAGCTCAGACCTGTGGAGGGAAGGGCAGCACAGGCTGGTGGTCAGCCTGCAGGTACAAGAGGAGGGTCCGCCTCTCCCCCCTCCCCGCCTGGGTCGGGGTCCACTCACTCACCGTGGTTGTACTTGCACTGCTTCAGGACCTCGCTGAAGCCCTCACACAGGGACAGGTCACTCTGAGTGGTGGAACAGTCCAGGAACTGCCTGATCTCATAGGCGCAGGGCCCCATCTGCAGGGGCTGGGAGGCAGCATGGGTGGGAGCCTGGGGGTACAATGCAAGAGGGTGCAGGATCAGCTTGGAGTTGGTACCTGGAGGTGGGTTTCAAAGCTGGGGACCACCTGCTCCTCCCTACATCCCCAGCCTGAGTGTCCCAAGGGTCCTAGGCAGGCTGAGTGACTCAGCAGCAGAGGTGGTCATAGACAGCATGTTTCTGTGCCTTCTAATGGGCATGTTGGGCGGGGGCAGGGGAGGGAGGAGAAGGCTCTAGAAAAGCCCAGAACTCTGCCTGTGCTCTCAGAGTATGGGCCCCACCCCCACAAGTTCCAGCACCTTCCTGGTTCAGCCACACTAATCCTCATGACCCCTGACCTGGCCACAGAGCGCATTTGGCTTAGGGCCGGTTGGGTCCCCAGTTGGGGAAAGGTCATCAGCGAAGTGGCTGACCTTCGCCCGTGGGCCCAGCGGTCATGGTGTCCAGACCTGGGTGTAGGGAGAACGGGCTCAGGAAATCCAACATCCCTCCCTTCTGCTAGGGTGAGGTGACCTTGCTCGAGTCTCTAAGCCCCCAGAACCTGGGTTTCCCATCTTTAAAGGATTGGTTAGTGTTTCTCCCTGGGAGCTTAGGGACTGTGGCCTCAAAGGAGGAGCTGGGAAGCCCGCCTTTAAGTGACAATAAACTCAAGATCAGAGGATGAGGACCCTTCTTGGGCAAAGAGTCCTGGGCTGAGACAACAGTGAACACACTGGACGTTCCTCACTGGACACTTGGGCAGCTCCCTGTATGGCCTGCAGAGAATCCTGCCTCAGTTTCTCTGGGACCTGCTGCTCACCTGCTGGGCGGCAGGCTGGGCCGGCTCCGAGCTCCCCCCGCTGAAGGCTCCGGTCAGGGCGCTGCCCATGACATGTCCCACAGCCGAGCCCACGGCTACCCCTGCGGCCGTGGATGCCATCTGAGCCATGAGGCCCGGCTGGCCCGAAGGGGCGGGAGCCGGGGCTGCTGCAGAGGGCGGTGGGTGCGCGGGCGGGTGGGCAGAGGGCGCGGCGGGGCGGCTGTGGAGGTGAGAGGAAGCAGGGTTAATCCTGGCCAGACCCCAGGCCGGGGGGCTGCAGCTCCTGGAAACGACCCCCGGAGAGGTGGACGACCCCTGTCGCCACACGTGGGTGCTGCACCCCCTTCCCCTCCCCCTGCTAAGATGGCGCAGCAGCACTCAAGGTCACTCTGCGGACGCCCTTGGGGGAGTGCCGACGCTTCCCTAACCCCCTTCCCACCGGGCCCTTATCCCCCTCACACCTGACTGGCCGGGCGGCCGCACTGCGGCTTCCCCGAGGCATGGTGGCGGCGGTGGGACCCGGGCGATCTAGAGACAGCGGCGGCGGCAGCGGTTCTGTCGCGGGGATAAACGCCGCAGCGATTGTCACTGCCGGCGCAAAAAGGCGGGGCCTGGGCGGGGCTTCAGGGATACGCCCCCAGCGGGAGGCCCTGCCCACTAGCCTGTCGCCCTTCTTGCGTCCTCCGGACCTCTCCCTTCCAGCCCCTCTGGATCTCCGCGCCCGTCTCGGCTGGAAATGGGACCCTGTTACTTCCCTACGCCTGGCAGGCTGTGCGGGTTCTGGGGACCACGGGCCAGTGCCGCAAAGCGCCAAGGGCTTAAAGAGAGCGACAGTTCCTTCTGTTAGGACCACTGCAGAGCGCAGGGAGCGGAGTTGGGGGTTTTGCGATCCCTGGAGGGGAGAGGAGACGGGGAGGCGACGGGCTAGGGCCAGCCGGGGAGGGCACGCGAGGCTCCAGGCCGGGCTCCGCCCTCTGCCCCCTCCTACCAGACAGGGTCTGCTGACCACCGCGTGACCTCGGGGGCTAGGGTGGCCTAGAGCTGAAAAGCGCGGCCCTGGGGAAGGCCTGGAGCGACCCATCCCCAGAACCCCCACGAGGGGGCGTCCCAATCCGTCTTCGACTCTCCAGGCCAAACTGCGCTGCTGGCGCCGGCAGCCTCGCGTAGCGCCTGGGGGGGATGAGTTGAGGCCCCCCCGCGCGTCGCTCAACCCTACCTGACCCCCGGGCCGGCCCACCCCACCTAGTTCCAGGCCCCGCGGGTGCAGCCCTGGACACTGACGGCCTTTACGAGACATCAAAGGCCTAGAATCATTTGCCTGGCTCGGTCAAACCTAGCACAAGTTTGAATCCTGCGGCCTTGCAATTTTAGCACCTTGGTTCTAGGCCAAGAAGGTGAACTGGAGCACGGATTTAGAACGCTTTCTTGCTCTTCGGGAACTTGAGGTTTTAATTTTTATTTATTTCTTTTTTTGAGACAGTCTTGCTCTGTTGCCCAGGCTGGAGTGCAATGGTGCCATCTCAGCTCACTGCAACCTCTGCCTCCCGGATTCAAGCGATTCTCCTGCCTCAGCCTCCTGAGTAGCTGGGACTACCGGCGCCCGCCACCACACCCAGCTAATTTTTTTTTTTTTTTTTGAGACAGAGTTTCGCTCTTGTTACCCAGGCTGGAGTGCAATGGCGCGATCTCGGCTCACCGCAACCTCCGCCTCTGGAGTTCAGGCAATTCTCCTGCCTCAGCCTCCTGAGTAGCTGGGATTACAGGCACGCGCCACCATGCCCAGCTAATTTTTTGTATTTTTAGTAGAGACGGGGTTTCACCATGTTGACCAGGTTGGTCTCGATCTCTCGACCTCGTGATCCACCTGCCTCGGCCTCCCAAAGTGCTGGGATTACAGGCTTGAGCCACCGTGCCCGGCCTAATTTTTTTATTTTTAGTAGAGATGAGGTTTCACCATATTAGCCAGGCTGGTCTCGAACTCCTGACCTCGTGATCCACCCACGTCAGCCTCCCAAAGTGCTGGGATTACAGGCGTAAGCCACCGTGCCTGGCCAAACTTGAGGTTTTTATAGACTTTTCTGGGTGACTTTGTAGTGGTTTTATTATTACTCTTAGGTGGGGGAAGGCAGGGACTGTCCCTCATTACTGTTTACTGTTTGCTGGCAGAGGACTCCTGGCACCGGGATTGTGGGCAGGGTGCAACTACCAAGAGCAAAAGCACCCACAAGTAGGGTTGTGGGTCACCACACAAGACAGGAGGCCCTTCTGTAAGGAAGGAGGAGCTCGAGGGGCAAGTGGAGCGGTGGCTGGGGCGTTTGGCCCTGCCTGGAATGCTCAGTTCTGTGTGTGCACAGCTGTCCCCAGCCATGCATGCTCTACATGGAAGCCATGTGCAGCCCTGTGTTCTCACACACTGCCGTCCGTTCAGCCAGCCTGTGAACAGGGCTCTTCCCTGGCCTGTCTTCAGTTTCTCCTCTCTGAAGGGGGGTGACTACCCACCTTGAGGGTGGCCTCCCAGTGAGGTGAGCACACAAAGGGTGGGCCATTCTTTCCTGGCAGACTCACCAGAACTGGTCCAGCCTCCCTTGCTCATGCAGTCCCTGCCCACCTGGTTCCTGTTTGCCAAACCAAACAAACTGAACACTCTCTTGTCTTAGTGATCCCCTGGGCCTAAACTGCAGACAGTTGTTACTTCAGCTCCCATGGCTGATGGACTGCAGGTTCTACAAGGCATGGCCTTGCACCTCAGAGGCACCCAAGACCATTTAAGTGGGTTACACAAATGAAAATGAGGCTGAAAGGATGAGACTGAAGTACCCATTGAAATGCCTACTTTTTTTTTTTTTTTGGGTGGGGAGTTCTGTAAATGTTTACTTATTCCAGGTCTGAATTCAAGTCCTGGATATCCCTGTTAATTTTCTGTCTCGTTGATCTGTCTAATATTGACAATGTAGTGTTAAAGTCTCCCACTATTATTATGCGGGAGTCTAAGTCTCTTACTACTTTTTTTTTAATGGAGTCTCACTCTGTCACCCAAACTGGAATGCCGTGGCTCAATCTCAGCTCACTGCAACCTCTGCCTCCCAGGTTCAAGTGATTCTCCTGTCTCAGCCTCCCAAGTAGCTAGATAGGACTACAGGCATACACCACCATGACCAGCTAATTTTTGTATTTTTAGTTGAGACAGGGTTTCACCATGTTGGTCAGGCTGGTCTCAAACTCCTGACCTCAAATGATCTGCCTGCCTCAGTCTCCCAAAGTGCTGGGATTACAGGCGTAAGCCACCACACCTGGCAAAAGGCCTACTTTTTAAAAGTAGTCACTGTAGCAGGGAACAGTGGCTCATGTCTATATCCCAGAACTTTGGGAGGCCCAGGCGGGCATATATTGCTTGAGTCCAGGAGTTCAAGATCAGCCTGGCCAACATGGTGAAACCCCGTCTCTACTAAAAATACAAAAATTAACTGGGTGTTGGTGTGGACATCTGTAGTAATCCCAGCTACTTGGGAGGCTGAGGCTGGAGAACCGCTTGAACCCAGGAGGCAGAGGTTGCAGTGAGCCAAGATCGCACCATTGCACTTCAGCCTGGATAACAAGAGTGGAACTCTGTCTCAAAAAAAGGAGAAAGAAAGAAAAGATTGCCAGCAGCCTAACAGTAAGCTGTAAAAATCACTGCTGTCTTACTTCTCCCCGTCCTCTAGGAGTCTCTATGGAGTCTTCTTGGATAAACTGTGAAGCGTTTCCCCACCTGCTTCCCTTTCTTGGCTCAGGCTTCCTGATAACAGCCTCACCTTAGAGTAGCTCAGAGCCCTGTCTGCCAGGATGGGAGCCACTGCCTAGATCTTGGTTCTGCAGGGCCACCCATGATGGAGCAGATCACCTGGTGAGGTGGTGAGGCCCTTCATCGTTTCAGGGGGTGTACAGCAGGATTGGGTAACGCCAAAAATCAGGGATGAGACTGGAGGATCCCTTCCAGAATGTGGACACACTCCCTCCGTTGATTCTTACCTCCTTTCTTTAAGTCTCGGGTCTGCAAGGGCTTCTGAGGCCCTGACCAGGGGACACCCTAGGGGCCCAGTACTCCACTCAGACACCTCCCACAGCCTTCTGATGGCATCTTCCCCCCAGCTAACCAGCTAGAGGACCTCCTGACCCCTCCATTTGCCTGCTGGTATGGAGAAGCCTGGCCCCTCCCTTCTGGAGCCTCAGTTCCCTATCTGTAAACTTTGGTCTGCCCCAAACTGAAGGACTGGCCAGTCCCTGCCATGTGCCACACTTTCCCCTGGGGTACATTTTGACATCCCTTTCCTGGTCGAGCACGGTGGCTCACGCCTGTAATCCCAGCACTTTGGGAGGCCAACGCAGGCAGATCACTCGAGGTCAGGAGTTCGAGACCAGCCTGGGCAACATGGAGAAACCCTGTCTCTACTAAAAATACAAAAATTAGCCAGGCATGATGGCACATGGAAGGCTGAGGCAGGAGAATCTCTTGAACCTGGGAAGCGGAGGTTGCAGTGAGTGGAGATCCTGCCACTGCACTCTAGCCTGGGAGACAGAGCGGGACAGTGTCTCAAAAATAATAATAATAATAACAATAAATAAAATATCCCTTTCCTCACAGGGTCTATGGTGTCATCTTCCAGAAAATCCGTTGAGGCTCTGAGGGGTGGGATAATTTGCTTGTGGGTAGGACCACCTGTAGCAGAGGTCAGAGGTCAGGCCACCAAGGAGATTCAGTGGGATGTGCTTTCCAAAGGTGAGGGTAGGGATGGGACCCTTGAAACCCGACTCCTGTCAGACTCTAGCCAAGTCTAAGGCTTTGGACGCCCACCACCCAGCGGAGAAACTGAGGCCTGGAGCAGCACGGGTTTGGCCAGGGTCACCCAGCACCAGACAGGGACTTGGCCAGACCTGGGGCAGGACCCTGCCTCAGGCTATCGACCCCGCCGGTCTGTGCCCTCCCTGTCCACCTCCCTCACCCCGGCCGGGACTGCTAGGAGAGTTTAGAACAAAAGGCGGCGGGGGGTGGGGGGGGTGGGGCGGGGCCGGGGCGGGCCGGGGGTTGGGGCGGAGGCTATAAGGGGCGGTGGCCCCGTGCGTCCCAGCAAGCCCAGCAGCCCCGGGGCGGATGGCTCCGGCCTCCTGGCACCGCAGCGCGACCTCGCGCGCCCTCCTGCTCCCGTTGCTGCTGCTGCTGCTGCTGCTGCTGCTCCAGCCGCCGCTGCTGCTGGCCCGGGCTCGGCCGCTGGTGAGTGCCCGCCACCCGCCGGCCGCTCCTCGCCGAGGGGGCGCCGGGCACGCGGGCTGGGCCCAGCGGCGGATCTGGACCCAAGGGGGCGCCCCGGGTGGACTCTTGCGCCCGGTACCCGAAACACTTTCTGGTTCCCTGTGGGCGTGACAGACAGCGAGCTTCCGTTCCCTGGGGGTGTAGAGAGTCGGCGCCCGCATCGCTTGGGCCGGTGGGGACTCCACGCTGGACTCACGCTTGCTCCCAGCGTGGGGATCTGCCCCTCGAGCTCCAGCTGCGGGTGCTGGAGTATGCGTTGGGGGAGGTAGCAGAGGGAGTGGTTACAGGGGCCCCTATGCATCGCAGGGACAAAGCCGAGCAGATCCCAGGCAGG